GGCGGGGGGGGGGGGGGGTGGGGGGGAGTAACTTGCGTTACTTATTTGAAAAAGTAACTCAGATATTCTCTTGAAAAAGTAATGCGTTACTTTACTAGTTACTTGAAAAAAGTAATCTGATTACGTAACTCGCGATTACCCCAACACTAGCGATAGGTTTATCAGACTCATTCCCTCTTGAATCGAACTGTACTAGTGCCACTATATGCGTTTAATAAAGTAAAAAGAACCGGCCTATCGCAGTCATCCCCTCTGAATTCGCACTATATTGGTCGCGATGTATGCGTTGGAGTCAATAAAAAGAACCGGCTCTTCGGAGTCATTTCCTCTCAATTCGGAATATACTGGTCGCGGTATAGTTAATATAGCCTATATTGACAGGTTGACAGTTTTACAGTTTATTTAGTCATAATTAGCTGTCCTTAAGGTGACAACACTATAAGGCGGTTGTACATAATTTTATACCTATATTTCTACATATCAATTTCTCCATTTAAGTATCCAGTATTCAATAATCAGTTGTTTACTGTACAAAACAATCAGATCATCTCCTACAAAACTACAAAATAAAAAATTGTGATACAAAAGAAAAGACTGGCTACTCCTTGCAGAGTTCACATGCTGAAATTAAAATAGATTTCAGTAGCACATTTTTCATAAAGTCATTGTTTACACTTATATTGTACAGAGAACACCTTTTTGTGAAAAGAGCCAGCAATATTTGCAAATGATCTTGTAACAAGTATAGGGCGGTGACTGGAATTGCAGCTAAGAGTCTAAATATCTGGATATGAATACTATATACTATACAGGATTCGATAGACAAATAAATTAATGGAATGCCTTCTTTTGTGTTATTGAATATATACATAAAATATCAGCCCATAAAAAGCCTCTTCTAATGCAATATGCATAGAGCAGTGTGCATTATCCAAACAGGATGATTTAAACAACAGCATTTCCATGAGCTTTACATAAAGTATTAAACATGGGCACAATTTATTAAACTTATCAGAGAAGCAATGATGAGAACACGATAATGTGTTACGGGTTAAAAATGTGTTATATACATTATGTCACAAATAAGCATCACAAAGACAAGATTATACATCATAAAGGGAGATCAACAGATTCATACCTCAGGTGATTCGTGGAGTGACTGACATGAGAATGCTTTCCAAAACACACCATAAAAAAAAAAAAAGTAAAATGGAGTCTTTTTTTTCTTTGCAAATTTGTGCTCTATCAATATGTTGTTTTTCCTCTCGCTCTCTCTCTCCCTCCCAAAATCTGCACGTCACCCCCTGGGAGATAAGACCAGGTACAGTGCTTCATCTCCATATTTTGGTATTCTGCACTGCACTGGTGAACAATCCATTCGCATCTTTTAAGATTAACGGCAAACCACCGTTAGACATTTTTTTCTCCTTTTGCTATTGACATTACAAAATCTTTCCCTATCCTTAGTGAGCAATGTGAAATGAACATATTGTTCCACATTGATTATTCACCCACTCTCATGTCTTTCCAAACCTTCTTTCTTTCATGGATCACAGAAGATGATATTTTGACTTCATGATGTCTTTACTTTCAAAGAACACATACAATGACCAGGGGCTTTCAGGCTCCAAAAAAAGACAAAAAGACACTGTAAAAGTATACAATTTGTGTCATATTTGGACTTCTTTTATGGTGCTTTTGTGTTCTTTTTGAAGCAAGGCACCTGGTACCTGTAAGACTTCATTTGTGTAGAAAAAAGCAGTGTGAACTTCTTCAAAGTACAATAAAATAAAAATAAATGTAAAAATATTAGGACTGTCAAAAGAAAGCAAGTGCAATTAATTTCTTTGCAATTAATGGCTTAACATTCAGTCAATTTTTTAGGGGGGAAAGCTAAGTAAAATTTATTTATAATAAGTAATATTTATACAAATTAATAATAATAATAATTATTATTTTTGTTGTTGTACAAAATATGTAAATCTTTTTTATTTATAATAATGAATAATAAATAATGATATCATTATTATAAATAAAATGTGATACACCTTTTTTATTTATGACAATAATAATAATAATAATTCTTTTCAAAAAACACATACAGTCACCTGGGGCTTTCAAGCTTCAGAAAGCACAAGACGACAGGATAAAAGTATTCATACGACTTGTGTCATATGCATTTTCTGGTTGTTTGGATACTTTTGTGGTGCTTTTGTGTCCTTTTTGGAGCTTGGTTCTTGGTACCTGCTTTCATTTGTGTGGCAGTGTGAACATGCTTCAAAAAATCTCCTTTTGCATTCAAAATACAGGTTTATGCAAGCACACATGATGACAGAACTTTCATTTTGGGCAAAATATTCCTTTAAGCACTCTGAAAGACTAATCAAGCATCATCTATGTTCTAGCGAGGCTTTCACACATATCGCAGCAGACAGCTCAGGGCACGCACACCTTTTTCTAGAGACCCTTAAATGTCCATTAATTCTTTTTCAAAAGTCAAACAGGCAGATTTTCTACATCGATTTGGCCTCTTCTACAGTCTTCTTTAACAACAGTAAACAACAGATGACACCCAAGCTATATTTTAGTGAGCATCTGAGCTCAGAAACGTGACCAGCAGCCCTTAAAAAAGCAATAATCTCAGACAAGCACCGCTCGCTTCCTCTCAGCAAAGAAAACCCATAATGCGCTCTTCTGACCGAAAACCTTGAAACAACCTCGCATATAGATCTGAATTCATTATCACACATCAAAGCAAATCTAATTTCATATATTGTTTCAAAACCTGATAGTCCAGACCTCTGTGTGTGTGTGTGTGACTCTGAAGTCAGTACACAAGGGCCATCTGTGCGGCCAATAAAGTCGGTGTTTGTGGAGCACGCTGTCAGATTTAGCGCCCTGCTGATGCCTCTCCATCTTCTAAATGACCGTCGTTATAAACTCCCCACTCATACAGAACCATATCAATAATTCAGACCCAGACCCTACAACCATCCAGCCTCATTTGCGGTTGAGGGGACACTCTCACGCCATGCCAGGGTCCCATGGAAAATGTTCGGCCGTAATTATCCGATGCTGATGACAACTTTCCCAATGATCTGATAGAGGTGGCGCAGGTTATTCTTCAGGACGAGAGAGCGTGACAGCACTGGAAGACCTTTGGCTCTAAAGTCTATTAAAAAAGACTCTCGGCCATCGCCCTCAGGGCCGTTCATCCTTCATTTTAATGGTCTGAGAGTTGAAGTGCATTCTTTAGCTGTGTCACCGTTCTGTCGCTCGGAGAGAAATGAGCGGCTCCGGTGTCTCTTTGGCAGATGTCTGGAGACCCATCCAAATGGAATCAGCTGCTTTGAATCACAGGATTTCATCCATGCAGAGGCAGCATATGGTTCGTGTTTGTGCGGTTAACTTTGCTT